CAGAAGGCATTTGAGAAGTCCATGTGGCATTCGATCCCACTTCCGCAGCAAGACAATTTTCAACTCCAGTATGATTCTCGGAGAGGGATGGCGAGATGAACCTGCTCTCCCAAGCGCGTCCCAGACATGGTCTAATCGGTTGACTCAAGGCGGTCTGGCTGGCCAATTCATGCGGAGAATATTTTCACTTTAAAGGCAAACTTCGACCAGCTGAGCCCTATGTGGATGAACGTTGTTGTCCATTAACAGCAACTTGAGGTAAACTGCGCCCCTGAAAAGTCGAGCATACGGCTCTACGATCTCCTCTGTATACTTCATAGTCTTTATCAAACACATGTAGGAATGTGCGAGTGTCCAACAAAATACTTACCCAATACAACTCCATCGCTGTCAGTTTCTTTTTCCCTGATGAGAAAATAATGGTATCGACACAGAAACATATCTCCAGACACAGATACGCCAAGAATTAGATTTCGGGCTGAACTTGGACTCAGTTGTATAAAGCACGATGATCCAATGATATCTGGCCCGAAGCGCTTGCCTGTACATTGCTAAACGCACTCTCTTATGTGCTGCAGCGAGTGGGATGCAAACAACGACTCATCTGGCTTATAACTCTATCTCATGAAGCCTTCGGACAACTGTAGACCGTGAAATTCGTGTCCCGGTGGCAGCATACAGCTCACGTGAGAGCTCTTAAGCTGTAGCAGCCTTGCGTCACCGCACTAAAAGAAAGGATCTTTGTTCGTCTTTTTGAATTTTTATCGACCTTGTCCAGGTCTTTTCGATATAGATTCACTGCCTTAAAACTGTTTTCACAAACTGCAGACAACCCTGGGCGTTTCATTGTGCACTATAGCCACGCTTGTTATTGCGCTTATGATTGGCCTGCCCCCAATCTACCAACAAATTTGCATCTCATTCGGTCGGCAATACATTCGTGACTACTCATTTTACCTGATACTTTATAAAATTTATGCTACTCTTGCGAGAATCACGGCGAATGTCGTGAAGGAGTATGAGCACGCAAATCTCTGAAAACCCCTTGTGCGTTTATGTCAGCCTCGCAGACACACATGTGTACTCTTAAGTATCGTTCAATACGTTTCTTAAAAGTAGATATAATTTGCAAATTCTTAATTTTGCACACGAGTGTGCTATCAGTTTATGGCCTTTTTAATGGATCATGATTTATATCGATAACATAAAAGCGATACTCTTTGCATTCCAGAGTATGTTATGTTATTAAAAGCAATGCAGTGTATGCTGAAGTAAAATATATTCATACCATTACAAGATTTCGCTTTATAAATATCAGCAATTCGTGAGTAATTGCGCACGCAAAATATAAATCATATTCTTGCAGTCGAAATTATTAATTAAAATAAAATAATGTCGCCAAAAAAGGAGAATTTATTTTTTCTTAATTGAATTAAACCTGAAACAGGAATACCTCTTGAATTTTTTAGTCGGAATATCAATTTATCCTCCATCCCCTTTATATTTTATTTATTAAAGAAGACGCAGTGTAGTGAACAATGTTTCTCTCTTGCTAAGAGCAAAAATTCTATCCTTCTCTTCATTTCGAAGTCAGAAAATCACATTAAAGTAATCATGTGTGAGATTCTACTCCTGACTCCCTTTCCAATGCTATTAAAATGATTGTTTTTGCGTTAATAATACTCGGGTACTTTCGATTCCATTGGGCCGAGTACATCACATTTATTCAGCCAAAAATCGATATTCCTTTATCTTCCCTTCTATCTGAATGACTGTCTCATCATTTCCATTGCTGTCGAAGGTATTATTTACTGCATATGATTTACTAACTGCGATCAACTTTTTGACGGTTAAAGCATCCCCATTTTTCAACACCTCTAAATTACGTCTTTATAACGTTGTTAGTCTTCGCAAAGTTATGATGGTCTCCGTAAAGTTGTTGAATGTTCTTAGAGATTTCGCTTCTGATATTGTGAATTTTGACGTGTGTGGTTTTATCTTGAAGAAGATATCGGCAATTTGATTTACAGTGACGACTGAATTTTTGTTTAAGTTATGCAATGGATAAATAATTTTAGAGGTTCTTATGGAAAATTATGGCCTGTGGTAATCCGAATTGTGTTGGATAAATGTTTTTATAAACCGACTCCTTTATTTATTAAGAAACATATGAAGTAAACTATTTATCTCATTATACAGTATTGTTTATTTTAATTACATATAAATTTTTCCGTTAACTCTATCTCGATCTCTTTCTGTTCCACAAAGTATACTGCGAGATTTTATAAATTTATATTAAGGCAATAAATATTTTATTTCAGAACTAAATACGTTATTAGCGAAACGGAAATTAAAATGTTTTACAGTATTACATATTTTTTTTGAATTATGTAATCTTTCATTGACGCTCGTTTCATTTAAGATGCCTTTTCTTCATCTGCAGTAATTGCAGTCTTGGAGTTCCATTAGCTGCATACTTCCGAATCCTTCTTATGCCTTAGTCTCATTTATTGTACTTTTAAAATCATTAGAAGATTTTTCTGGATATTCTTAACATCACTAGCTGTTCGATCGTTTATTTCCTGCACCTTACTTCTATTTTGATTTTGAAAAAGCATAATTGCAATTAGTGATTACGCGATATTATATGTATATACACTGTGTTCTTCGTTATCTCTGCACTGTCGGAAATAACACGTGCGAAAGAAATCTTTGAGGTTCCAAGATGAGATGATTGGAAAATTTACAAATTTTGAAGTGAATATTCTTGCTAAAGCTTTAAATGAAATTAACAGTTGGCACGTTTGAATATGGCAAAGCATCTGAGATCTATCGACCTAGAGGAAATAAATGTTTTTTGGGTAAAATCACGAAAACCAAATACGCAACCATCCATTTGTCTAGGATCGAACTTGGGTCAAACTTACAGTATTCAGCGGTTGTAACAGCTCAGCAATTGGTTGAGCTAAATGAAGTAAATATCCTAAAGATAATTCATATATGAAAAAAGCTGACATATAAATTAAATAGAGTTACTTCTGGTCAAGGCATTTGAAATATAAGCGGAGAAAACGAAGAACAAAAGCTACAGAAGACATGTTCCTACAATATTTATCAGGTTAAGATGTTTTATATCTAGTGACTCAGCTACGAGAAGAGTGAGAAGAAGAGAGAGAAGACAAAGATGGAAGAACAAATATGAACCAGGTAAAGCAACGGAATGTGTCAACGAGCCCTTGGTCTAAATAGGTCCATAAATTGAATTCGACATCTTTGCTTTGCTCAAATTTGCTATAATAGCTTAAAGAATGTCAACACACATCATAGAAAAGAAATATAAGATCTTTCTGAAGGGAAACATCTGCAAGCATATCTAAGACTAACTGCTATTTTGACCAAATCCTGTTTCAGATGTTTTAATGCAGTGGTCTCAGAATAACGGCTCCATAACTAATATTCAGCGACTTGCGAATATATTTCCTGTAAATTAATTGATATCATGATAACATTAATTGTGAAGACAAGAATATAAAAAAGTTTAAGATTGTAACTATTCTGGGTTAAATTTCACATGTTTATCATCATTTATAGACGAACATAAATAACACCCCAAAAAAACTACGTTTTGAGCTAAATAATTTACACAGTAATATAAACCTTATTCGGAGATTTGTATATATAAAGATTTCATTAATTTCTTTTAGAGCTTGCCAGAAAATAATTACCCTCGGTTACGAATTTTTGCGATAGGAATAGTTACGAATTTTTGCGATAAGAATAGTTGCCTTTTTTGAGAGAACATTTACGTGAATAGATTTAGTTTCGCAGTTGGAAAATTCTTAATGAAGGGAACCCGAATGACCGATGAACTTCTGCAAATCGTGATAGGTTCTCTAAATTTTTATACAAAGTTACAAATAATCAAAATCGGAACGCCATGAGGTGTTTAACTGCAAGTTATAATAAGAAATAAGGAAGTTTATAAATATTTTCATACGAATATATGTCTTTTTTCTGTATGCGTCGAAGAAAAACTTAATAACAGAAAGATAATAGACTATCATTATTTACTCCGAGTTCTGTCCCATTTCCAAAGTTTTCGAAATTAGATTATTTTTAGTTTGGATAAGACATTTAGTGGTTATTCAACGCTGAAAACTTAACATTTAGCTATGAGTACGTTTGAACTACAAAATTTAACCACTAGAAGTTTCTTAAAGATACCAAGCTATAGATTTCAAACAGAAAATAAATATAAATTGGAATTTGTTTCTGCACTGCTATTATTACTATTTATATAAGTTTTGTTAAATATTTAGTAAATAAAAGTTGAGATACATTTTAAAGAAATATTTTGTTAAACGACTTTCTCTCTTGGTTAAAAAAAAAATGGCTCCTCAGCTGCTTACAGATCGCGCATTTCTTCCCGCATACAATTACCACTACTGGTTTACTACATACCATTGGTTTAAACTATTTTTACACTAACGTCCCAGCTTTGGTTTATTTCTGTTCTCCGTTTTCTGTGCACAATGAGAGAGTTAATTAGTAAGAATAATTGATACTTCAATCATATAGAATACCGAAACTTGGACTACAGCGAATGGGAGATTCTCAACAACTTATCTGTTCATATCTATATTTGTTTTTCAGGTCATCAGCTAAATTTTCACCTCTATCTGCTGAAACAAATTTTAACGGGTTTGGATAACATTCTATCTATGTTTTTGATATTAGTATAATGAAGGGTGTGCTGTATCTACGCGAGAAAGTGATTACATGTTGTTTCGTATTAAAGCATTAGAATTCAAAAATTGACAGCTTATTGAATGTTATTACAGTTTAAATGCGTTTTGCAAATTGCTTGGTGATAATAAAATCTATATAAAACTGGCGCAGAAATCATGGTAATTTAAATTCTAATTAAGTTTTTGCATCAATGTTGGTATTTAAAGTTTACAAAAGTAAATATAATTAATAGATATACTTCCATTACGCAGAAGGATTGCCGGAAGCAGAAGGACAATGTCTGGATACACTACAGACCTTCTTTATTTCAACATGTAGGAACACATTCATCTCTGAAAGGAAAAGTCCAGAAACTTACGGTAAGGAAGATTAGATTTCACTTGATTTCCCTTGCGCTTTAACTCTTAAATTGAGTTGATCATTAAATATACTTATATATATAGGTATGCGCCTATTCCAATGGTTAGTTTTCCTTAGTATTAGAAACAGTTACATCTTCAAAACGGATTCTTGAAAATGAAGTTACATATGTACATCTGGGTTATATTTAATCCTGGATCTTAAATTATTCTGCAGAATCTAAATTTTTTTATATGCAATTTAGACCTAAAATATAAAGCACTTAAATATTGCATTGCAAACTGAATCAAATAAGAATTATTCCGCTCCGTGTAAACATTTCAGGTTTAGTCTATTATATCCCTAAAATTTCAAAATGAGGTCGGTATTTCACTTAGCGTGAGAGAAACTGTGCTTTAAAATTTAACAAAAGCCTAAAACTTTTATTTAAAAAAATTCTTACATCGGATATAAAATATTGGATATGTATTCATATGATATTGCTTTTAGTAGCGATGATGAATCGAAATGAACATTTATATTTCATTTAACTTCAGGATAAGCAGTTTGGGAAGACTCTTACAAGATATCCACATCGGAATCCAGCAGCAGTGTTGAGGACATCGCTGAAGACATATGGAGACCATACGCTGTCCAGAGCATACCGTGGGGAAACCTACTTCTGGTGTTTTACTCCATCGAAAGGAGATAACATTACATTCTACTTTTCGCCGCCCATTCTCCTTGAGAGGTTAGTCACGTTTCAATATTTTCTTGAAAGGTAACTTTGTTACTATGCTCCATATTAAAAGTCCATTTCATCTGTTTTAGAAACAGTCAAATGTTGTTTTTTTAAGGTTTGAATTTTCAGGATGGCAGTAATGATGCCTTCCTTGAAACAAACTTCAGTAAGGTTAATTTTGAAACTTTTTTTGGCAAATGTTTGAAAACTTAGTACAGTTTTGAATTTTTGAACTTCTTTATGTTTTAGCAATTATTTCTGCAGTAATCATGTGAAAGACATGCAGCTTTCAGAGTATTTCATCTTCTCTTTTTCTAAGCTTGATATTTTCCAATATTTCCAATATTTGGTTTAAGAGGACATTGTTCTCAGAGCATTGCGTTTTGAAGTCTCATTTATCGCTACTCAAGCAGAAACTTAGCATCGAAGATTTTGTAAGATTATTAGAAAGTATTTAATTAAATGAGAGTTGTCATACATGTTTCAACTAACGTTCCAACTATAAGGGCATATAATAACATGCACAGCTCTTTTATTATTTATTATTGTTTTTATTTTAGTATTATTTTACGCTGTTACTGATTTCCTCAATGCGTTGTCTCGTGGTGTTAACGGATATTGCATTCAGTTAACAATCGGAAGATGCATCTTTCAAGTTTTAGTGAGGTCGCTGTTGACAGTACACATTTCCAGAATCGAAAAAATTTATGTGCTAAACAAAAAAATGTGAAGGGAATAACATCACTACGTAGATTTTATTGAGCGGATATCGCGGCTCTTAAATTGGAAAGAATCTGAACAATTACTGGGTATATAAGCGAAACCATCACAGACCAAAGCATTGCGGACGAAAACTTATCGGAGGAAACAACGTGAGACGAAAACGTCATCGTACAAAACATCGTAAGAGAAAAGAAAGCAAGAAGAAACATCGGAATTCTAAAACATCGTAGTACAAAGAAATTAAGCGGTTCAATAACAATGCAATTTTAAAATATCGTTATTGGAAATAACATGGTTAATAAGCACCTACAAATCATCGCATGACGACAACATCGCAGACATGCATTTTCAGGCACGTCTGCGATTTCTCAGGCATGCCTGCGAGACATTTCAGAGATGTTTTTCAGGCAATTTTGTAAATGCGTATTCGCATACTGATTTGTGAGCGCAAGAATGAACGAGGAATATTTTTAATTTTATATTTTTCAATTAACTAGTAAGGAATATTTTTAGTTTTATACTTTTCAATTAACTAGTAAATTCTGTTAAATCCTATAACTAGTGCTACTTATAGGATTTAACAGAATTTTATAATTTTACAATTAATATAAAAAGTTTGAATGGAAATAACAACACGAAACCGCTCATCGTCCTCTTTCTAATCCTTTTTATACTAAACTTTCATAAAAAATTAACAAAAACAATATAAAAGAGATTAATTAATTAATTACCTTTATTAGTCAACTGAATAAGTTTAAAATGTTATTAACTGCTATGCCTAGCGCTAATTTTCTGCTCATATTCTCTTTTCGAATGCTTAAATTTCCTTATTATTTATCAGCAAAAACTTATTAAAACAAAACAGAATACAAATACACCAAAGTGAACCATAAAATTAGAAAAGCAACAACGTTGTGTCTGGCGTAGATTTAGTAAAGAGGTCAATCGATTTAGAGGGAAATGACTATAATTATCTTGCCGAAAATAATTTTCTCTGATAAATACTGTACTAATCGCTCAGCCTTTTTTTATTATATCATCTTTATATATATAAGCGGCTTAAGTGTTTGTCGCCGATAGTTTATTGTTGCCACTCGGAAAAATGTGCTCGGAAATTAACGTTTCCGAAGTTTTTAATTAATATCTCACCCCATATATATGCGGCTTAAGTGTTTGTTTGTCGCCGATAGTTTATTGGTTGCTTGCGTAACTATACTAGCCAATGGGTTGAAGTTGCCCGGGACAGGTTTGCCGTTTCAATTGAGACGCAAACAATTTCCTGTAAACTTGCCTTATCAATAAGTCTCGGCCAAATGCTTAAGCGTGTTGGAATTTTTTTACCTAAAATTAAAATTATATCCCGTAAAATTAAAATAATTGATGGTCCTTTGCAAGGCGAGCTTAAAAATGATGGAAAGATCTACACAAGAATGTTATGTACAAAGAAATCTTTGATATGTGAATTAACATTTTATTATTTAAATCACCTTTATTTATTGAGCTTGCGGTGGCTCTTAAGAAATGTACCGCCAGTGGTTTCCTGTCTGCACTCTACTTTAAGCAATTAATCAGGTAGAAGGGGGAGACCCCGTGAGGCAGTAAGCAAAGGGGCGTCCCCGCCGCCTCCCCTGGGTAATTTGGTTGGAATTAGCAGACACCTTTGCACAAATCATTTTAATTACAATTTATAGTATCTAAACCAGCGGTTATTTCGTATGACCGCCAGGCTTTTTAGTACATATATATTAGGTCTAAAATTATTTAACCGCTTAACGACCGCGCCCGAAATATCATGGAAACTGATGCCGTTTCGATTTTCCTATGAACGAGTTAACTCAGGAGCTGAAAATTTTACAGATATGTAATGCCACTGCCCGTAATATTGCGTGGCAATCGACACTCTGCCATGCACATGATCTCTTAGCTGTGGGTGGGGTCCAAGTGGCTTTTGTGATTACTCGCTCGAAGTGATTAGGCTCAAGCGGTAATGGCGGTATTATTGCCCAGACCGTGATGTGCCGCTATGTATTACGCCATGTTTCAGACTGTACCATACTTCAGTGACATTTATAGAACGTAAAATGTATTTACTTGATTTTTACTTTAGCTTTATTACCTAGACTACAGTTCTGTATTACTTTTGGCTAGATTGTATTTTTTTGGCTGCTTCATTGAAGCCCGAGTTAACTTGTGTAATGTCATGAACGATAATAATTATTTCATTTGTTTCGCGAAATTCCTATTTTCCGCTACATCTAATAAGATATATCTGTAGCTACAAAGCTGCATCTAATGTTTAGAAAGCTTACAAAGCTAGATCTAATGAGCTATATATGTAGATAATAAAAATCGGCGATTTTTGGAAAAATTTTTAACATAAATCCCGTCATTAAGTGGTTAAAAAATAGTTTTTTCTAGTGAAAATTTCAGCTTCTTGTTCATTAATCGAATTTTTACTTTAATCCTCATTTAATAATACCGCTAGTATATGCTGTCGCTATTGTATACTGTCTAAGAGATTTTGGATGGCATTTTGGGTTACTGCAATCAGTACAGCTTCAACTCTGTGCCAGAGTTCATCTGTGTTACTGATGGGTAGGTACTGTTTCCCCAGTATACCTGCAGCCATTGACAAGACGTTTTTACTTTATGAGATTTCTGACAGAAGTCTAGAGAAAACGTAGGACACTGAATGACATTGTGAGCAACACATAATCTTCCACTGTCATGCAGAAAAGTCTATCGTTCAATGAGATAGCACAACCACATGCCTTTAGATCTCAACAATACGTGGATTGCTGGTAAAAGACAGAATATCAATGGCATGTGCGCATAGCTCGACCAGATGCTGGGCTGATACCGCGATGAAACGATATAGCTTCCAATGTTTGTTTTATATTTTGTCATCGTGATTCCGTAAGTAAACCCAGGCTTGCTTACAAAAGAGGACGTCATGCCATTCAAGAAGCCATGTGCCTCATTAAATGGTTCATTTTGAAGACAGTGATTCTGGAGTTGAAGCGTGAATAAAAGCCGAAACAAGGATCGCATTTCTGATAGACTGGGGTGTTGCCGACTTCATTGCTTAGTAAATGCGAGTAATTGCTGCTGTGAAACACGCAGCATCCTGAATCAGTAGCATTAATTAGATAATAAAATGTGATAAAGCTATAGCTGTTGTGGTACGTAGTTATAGCTATGAGATCTCTAACAACGATGCCGGCAAGATTTTGGTCATCTCCAGAGTTTAGTGCGAACAGTTGAGAGAAAGCAAGTCTCTCTACGGGGTTCCATCGATTGCAAATTCTCCTAAGAATCACTGAATCGCAACCAATGAGTGTTATGAAGTACTATAAGCCGCAGTTTCTATATGCTATGATTCTTCCCGAATGAATTATGAGATGTGTTGGCATAAATTCCTGCTAGCTTCAACACTAATACTCTCTCCAATGCATATCCAAAAATTAGCATTGAAATCATGTCTTTTTAATATGTTTCGAAGTGTCATTACTCTTGCTTGTAAAGTGCGCATAAAGTGAATTGCCAGTAATTTGCATATCCTAAAATATTCTAACTTTCATACAAATTTCAGTTTGGGTGTGCGCATTTTTCATGGTGCAGAAATTTTGATGGGAAGCGAGTGAATGCCAGTAAGTGTATAATATAATGTTGTTTATTCTTGGAAATCAGATTTTTTTCATTTCGTTTATTTCACTGATATGTACTTTTGTATTATTAAACACTCTGATGCATATATTATAAGCATATTTTTAAGAACATATGCGTAAAAGTGTATAAATTATTTCTGAAAATTTCATTTCTTAAAGAATATTGTCATTGTCAGAGCAGAAACTTAAAGATAAGAATTTATGTGAGGGACGTTGCTTATGTTTAAACATTTATTCTATTCCGCTACTGCAGTGGAATTCCATTGAGAACAAAGTCAATATATGCAGTTTATAAATTAGAGAAAAGAAAAGAGCTTATGTTGGAACTTTTCATAGGATAGAGGGCGCTGTTGCGCCAAAGGAATTCTGTTGTTTTTTACATTATGTAACTGTAGTTCGCCATTGCGATGTATGGGTATTGCTGTGATATATTTTTGCTTTCATTAAATATAAATGAAGATATCGTCAATGAATGTTTTGTATCCAATCAAGGTCAAATTTACCACTGATGCATATTTCGTCGGAATAAAATTAGCGTTCGAACAAGAATCGTCAAGTTATTACTAGCCTTTCGAACTACGCATTAGTAGCGTTATTCGCTTCGTCCACATGTGGTGC